TTTGGTGGTGAAGTTACTATATTTGCTGAATATCTTTTAGGATATTACTTAGCATGCTGAAAATTACTTGAAGTGGGGAATATTTACCACATTTGCTAAGTATCCTTTAGAAAATAACTTAATCTTTTATCAATGATCTATAAAACGAGTGTCCTGGTATCTCTGTACCTACACTGTAGATAATTAGTAAGAAATGAAGACAATGTTTGTTGGCTGACACTGATGGACATTGGAAATGGAAGCACACCAAGAAGGAGACGCTGACTTCATCTCTGTTTAGTGTGATTTTCCCAATGAAGATGATGGTGAAAACATTGATTCTGCTTATCTCCCAAAGTTCTCATGAAGGCTTGCCCCCCTCATCTTCCCTACACTCGACTCTTCTCCTTAACATCTGAAGATAGAAAACTTATTCCTCCAAGGAAAGCTTCCAGTAAGTCAGAAAGTTTGGGAAGTAGTATTCTCAAGTATGTGGAGAAAAAAAAGAAAAAAGGTAACCTGACAAGAGAAAGGAGGAGAAATAAAAATGGAAGTGAAAGTTTGTGTGTTGACTGGAAAACACACATCAGCACTATTCCCAATCTCCACATGTGTAGTATGAAGATTTTTAGATATTTTGGTAGCTCCTCTGAGTCAAACTAAGCACTATTGTTTATAATAGGAAGAATGATAAGGAAATAATCAAATATGCTTTTGCCTACACTTACATGCAATTGTTTGAGTGAAAATCCTAGCCTTGATTGGAGAACCATCCAAAAGTGGAATTAGGGGACTTACTGCACTTACTGCAGTTTTTCAGTGAAAAACTGAAATCATAAAGTTACAACTTCTAAAAATGCAAACATTTTTTATAATTTTTTCACTAATAGTTTAAGGTAGATCTCTTATTTAAAATAATAATTTAGAGAAAGAAAAGACATACAGTTTGTGAATCATCCAGTGGTCTTTCACATCTGAGGAGATTAGATCAAATGAATATATGCCACACACTCACTGGGTCATGTGCATGTTTTGGAAATAAATCTAGCCTCTTTGCTATTTTTATTACATCTAAAACAAAATGATTAAGATGCCTAGGGATACAATTCTATGTTAAAAGTCACTTATTTCAGGGCACCAGGGTGGCTCAGTCAGTTAAGCGTCTGCGTTTAGTTTGGGTCATGATCCCAGGGTTCTGGGATTGAGCCCCACATTGGGCTCTCTGCTCAACAGGGCAGCCTGCTTCTCCCTCTCACAAATAAATAAATAAAATCCTTAAAAAAAAAGTCATTTATTTCAAGGGCTGCACATAGAGAACCCTTGATCACTTACAACTATGAGCTCCAGTGACATTTTAAATGTCAAACATACTTAAGATCTGTATTTACAATGTGTTAAAAAATCTATGCAAATTAAATAAGTACTAGCTATTTTATTATACATAAAAAGCGCTATTAAAGCATATCAACAATAAGAGAATTTTAAACATTTTCTCTCTGAAAAATAATTTCAGAACATTGAAACTCCTACACGTTTGTTGGTATACTTGTCTGTTTAAAAGGTTATTTGGAAATCTGTAACTCCAGGTCATTTCTCCTTTCTTTGCTTGCGTGGAAGATTGGGTAATGGGAGTTAATTTAGAGAACAAGAACAATATAAAGTGACTAGTGAGAATTTTCTTTGCAAGTTCAGCCAAATTGAGAGTCAAGCCAAAGTCAACAGTTCCTCAAACTAGTTTCATTTCAAAGGCACGAGGGACGTGTAAGTAAAATCTCTAGTATCATATGACTTTCTGTTGCTTTTCAGTTAACAATAGTTTACATATATTTTAGCACACTCTCAACTGATTAAATCAACTTCCACATCTTTGAGATATCAGTATTAAAGTGCTAAATAAATTATGATGAAGTGTCACATTCCAAATAAAACGTTAATAAAACACTCTAAAACAAAAACATTAAGGTGCCACATTCTGAAATAAAACATTAATAAAACTAAAATGTTTTTTTTTAAGATTTTATTTATTCATGAGAGACAGAGAGAGAGAGAGAGAGAGAGAGAGAGAGAGAGAGAGAGAGAGGCAGAGACACAGGCAGAGGGAGAAGCAGGCTCCATGGGACTCCATCCTGGGTCTCCAGGATCAGGCCCTGGGCTGAAGGCAGCGCTAAACTGCTGAGCCATCCGGGCTGGCCTGAAACTAAAATGTTTAAATAAATTATGTGGAAGTGATATAATAAGTGATAGCTACTATGAGGCTAGTAGTATTTTACCTCTGATATAAAGTTAAAATCCATAAGAGAAATCATATCAAACATCAGATCGTATGACAAGAAAGCAGCATTCCTTTCTGAATAACCGAATAGAACATAATGGGTTGAAGGGTCTCTTCCACGTCTCTAGAGCAAAGTCCTCTCTTATCCTTAAACTTACAGAATTACAACACCTCCTGCTGGGCTTCAAACAATCTTGGGTATCTCTCATATTGTCAGGAGGGCATTCTTTAGCTCTCTTTATCCAGTTCTACCATGGGAACTACCAGGACCATTCACTTATAGGCATAGGTGCTACCACTTCTGGAGATGAATCAAGTCTGCCACTTACTGAACACTTTGTCTTCTCCTTCCTTTAAAACCCAAACAAGTATACAAATGTTTTCTCTCGCTAGTATTGACTCTGTTGGTATTTCTGAAGCTCTTGATTTTAAAACATTAATGCATGCATTCTTCCAACATTCAGAGGGTCCCATTCTTAATCCACTGATTTATCATTTATTAATCATTTATGAGTGACTCTTACATTTAAGACACTGTTCTAATTTCCAAGGATACAGTATAAGAAAAATTTCTGCTCTCACAAATGCACATTCTGAGAATATGGGATATTAAATTTAACTCATATATTAGGATTCACAAAATGTAGGATGTCCCAGTGCCTTGGTCTGTCACAATTTTAAACCTAAGCTGCTTTTATGGGGAATGCCTGTCAAGGAAACACATACCAATCACAATCCTCCAACTCAGCTTTAGCTAGCTTACCCTACCCTGGAAAATAGGCCATTAGCCTTGTAAGAAAATCCTCCACCTCCTAGCTGACCATGCATTTCCAAGTTGCCTCTTTTACCAGCTATAAAGCTTGCTCTTGCCTCAAACCCCTGAGATCAGTGCTCCAGCACTTATGAGGCACTGTACTCCCCCAATCCATGGACTGATTTCCTTGGATAAGGAACATCAAGCTGTTACTATATAGTTTTACTTTTATCATTTGATAGGAGGAACAGGAAAGACTGTCTCCATGTAAGATATTGACGAAAGCCAAACAAATTAACAAGAAAGTATCAGGTATTGCTAATGCTAGTAAACAGGGTAATATGACTAAGAGACAAGAGCATGATTTTTAGATAGAGGCCTCACAAAAGTCCTCTCTCAAGTCACACTTATACTGAGGTCAGGGTGACAAACTGTCAGAGTGGCACTGACCGTGAGTAACATGCTATCAAAATAGGATCCTGCCCTTGGTAAGCCCTCAATAAATGTTCAACCTGAGTAGTTACTATCTAAAACACAAAGTCCTTATTGCAAATGAATTACACATATGCTTAATTAAAGAATATAAAGTTAGATTCATTTGCTGTCATAGCATACCATGTACACAATGTTTCAGAAAAGTACCATCTACTTACATTATGGACCTTTATAATGTTTTCAAGGGGATAAAAAGACCTAGCCTTCATGTCATCATGTATTTTATAATATGCATATGTAAACTATCGATTTGCATAAAATTTTACTATATTAACAAAACACTTTATTAATATAGTAAAATTTATTTTACTATAATTTTATATTAAATAAATTTTATATTAAATTTATTTAATATAAATATTAAATTTATATTTATAAATATACTATATTTATAAAACACTTTATTAATATAGTAAAATATGAAATAAACTTCACCTCAGGGAATGTTATATCTGACTGATTATACTGAGGATGAACATTTCTTTTTTTTTTTTTTTTTAAAGATTTTACTTATTTGTTCATGCGAAACACAGAGAGACAGGCAGAGACACAGGCAGAATAAGAGCAGGCTCCCTGTGAAGAGCCTGATGTGGAACTCAATCCCAGAAGCCCGAGATCATGCCCTGAGCCAAAGGCAGACCCTCAACCACTGAGCCACCCAGGCACCCCTGAACATTTTGTTTTAAAAGGTGCTGCTCCATCCTCCTTCCTTCTACACTCAGAAGCTCAGACTTAGATAACTCCAGGCTGGTGGAAACAGGACCTCTGTTTGTACTCAACTACATTCATGCTTTCACTCTCAAGCCTACTGATGCTCTCAATAGTTGTAGTACTTATAGTTGCTACTTTTTAACAAACACAGATTCTGATAGAAAACTAAAAATTATATTTTTTGCAAATCCCAGTCCTAGGATAAAAATGATGAAAACTGTTTACATTAGAAGAAACAAGCTATTCCCAAAAACACAAAAGTGAGGACCGAAGTGGGATAGATGTGAAATGTGGAAACTACAACCTGGGACACTTTATAATTAACAATGTTCTAAAAAGTACATGAATGGTACACTATGTAGATAAGGGAAGTATGAACCAAAAAGCAAATATGAAGGCATAAAATCAAAGGACATACACTCATTTTATATACTCTTCTATTCCCCAGGTTAAGGCAAGAAAAGTCACGGTCTTAAATATGATTATATTGCTATCCATCCCAACGTAATAACCGTGCTATGTGGACACACACATTCTCTCTCACACACATATGCACTGGGGCTACTTTTACAAATCATTTCCTTGGAGTTAAAAGATCCTTTCCCTTAAAACTGTATAGAGGATTACAGAAAGTATTTCTTAGCCATTATTACAACATTGTACACAAGTAAGATGTATTAATTTGTATCATTGATCAGAGGGAAAAACTCTATAAGGGGAAAATTATGACTTACTTTATCAACAACACATGTTGTGACACGGTTTTCAGAAATCCACTGCGACAAAAAGTTAAGAAAAATTCGCACCTTTATTTTGGTGGAATGAAAACAGAAACAGTAATGGGAAATTGAGAAAACATTGCTATAATTCAGTTCTTCTCTGTCAATCAAGAAGATGCACCACAAGAGATTAAACCACAGGGAATGTTATTCATGCTCTACAATAATTCATTAAGTCACTCAAATAAACCTAATTAAGGAAATTTTGAAAAGGATTTTCAATGACTTTCAGTGAAAACGTTCTTTATTGGTAAACCAGACACTTGAAATTTTTTGATTACATATGTCATGCAAAACAACTGACCTCACACATGGCTCTCTACCTGCCCATTGTGACATAATTCCTTGGGGATGACTATAAACTTTATAAGTTACGGTGACTGCAATAGTAAAAAAGAATTCAGGAAAACTCTAATGAAGCAAAACACTGTGTAGTACATGTGAAAGTATTGTTCTGAATGTTTAATTATCCCTCCTAATATGAATCTCTACCTTTTGGAAGACTATCATATACAAAAATGGCAGTTGCTTTTGTACGTGCATCTATGGGCACTCCATCTAAATGATAAAAAGAAACTACAGGCATAACATTTCAAACACTTTTACAGGGTTTGGTTAATCCCCTCACCCCATTTTGTTAATCCAAAATAGGGCAGTGCCCTCTTATTTAAAATGTTCATTTGTTTCGATAGAGTATTTCCTAAGGAAGATGGTTTTGCTCCTATGAAAATGTAGTTTATTCCTGGTAACATTCTGAACTGCTATTTATATATTCTCCAAGTTGTTGACTGGTGGAGAGGAGCATGGCTTCCTGTTCTAAGATTTAGGAATAATCTTCTCACTCTGCATTGTGACACTGAGAACCAGTTTCTCTGTGGTGGTGAGATCCAACACTTCTATCCTGTGGTAGTTCTGATAGCACTTGACAGTAGGAAAACCTTGACCACAGGTCACCTCCTTGAAATAAACGGAGCTCCCAGAGAAGCTGAATTCCAAATCTCCTATTGGCACATTCAAGTTAAGTGGCAGTGAATAGGCATAGTAGACTTTCCCAGATACCTGGATGTGGGGCGCTGCTGAACACCTGAAAAGGAGGGCTTAGCTTTGGAATGAGACAGTGGGTAGACGGCTGGAAGAAATTTTTAGGAGCATGACAGAAAGAGGCAGGATTGCTTTGAACACTGTTAGCAGATCTATGGATGTTAATGCTGGTGAGGGCTGAAGGAAGGTAAAGAGCATGGTAGAGAGCACCTAAATTGCCATGGAGATGATGTAAATTGTCCTAAACAGGCTGTTAAGAAAAAAGGACATTAAAGGTGCTGCCAAGAGGGCTTCGTAGGAAATGAGTAACATGCTTTGGAAAGTAAAGGAAAAGAGACTGGTTATATAGTGGTGTCTGCAGTTACGTGGAAACAGAAGTTGTAAGGGATAAATTTAAGACATTTGGTTTGAAGCGACTTCTAAGCAAAGTGTGCAAGGTGTGCCCTGCTCTCCTCTTGCTGGTCAGAATACAATGTGAGTGGAGATAGATAAATTGAGTGAAGAACTGGTTAAATATAAAGAAAACAGGACCCAGTGACTTGGAAATTCTTAGCTTACCCAGCTGACAGAAGACATTACAGTTAAGGAATTCACTGTCAGGGAACCAGCTCAAGAGTAGGGTACAGTCATACATCCCTCTGTTAATACCTGGGGAAGGCCTGAATTTTCTGTCACACCACAAGTTCATTGAAGGCATTAAGGGTGGGACTCATAGATCCTCTCAGCCTTCTCAGAAAAAGCCAAAAATAAGAGATGGGACTACCTAGGAATGCTTTGTGCAGGGGCCTCCAGTCTAAAGAACTGAATCCTCCCAACAGGCACACAAGATCCACAAAATTCTGGAGAATGTTATGCCACACACTGCTCCCCTAAATTGAAAAAGATGGTGGTGGTATGAAACCAAAGATGGCCGGACTTCCCACAATTCCACAGGTAAGAAATAAGCTGAGAAAACTACTCAGCTGCAAACAGGTGCTACCTTTCATGAAAAAGGGAAGAGGACTCTGAGAGGACATCAAAAGCCTAGAATAGTGCTGCCAGACTGTTCCCAGGATTTAACATCTACTAGAGTGTGTGTGGCTCCTCTTTTCATTCCGCTTTGTTTGAAAAGGAATGTCCTATCTACACTTGGGAACAGATAACTGGTTTTCTATGTTCAGAGGTACACAGATGGAGAGAAACGGTGTCCCAGGAATCATACCAAGACCCTCACTTATACTTGATTTAGATGTTTTTATTTATTTATTTATTTATTTATTTATTTATTTATTTATTATTTATTTATTTTTTTTGATTTAGATGATTTAAATGAGGTTTCGGATTTTTGAGCTGGTGAATTTTAGGTAAGATGTTGCACTTTGATGTTATAATTGGTTGATACTTTTAGATGGGGTGGCTTTATGCAGAATCGATGTGAATCCTTGGCAGGTGTGGACTGTGGTAGTCAGAATGACCTCCAAAATATTCATGTTCTCATTACCATACCTAGGTAATGTAGGTATGGTAACGGCTTCCTATGTAAACAAGAAAAGGATTTTGCCAGTGTGATTAAGTATTTAGAGATGAGATTTTTCTGGTAATTATTCTAGGTAAACCAAATATAATCACAAGGATCATGTAAGAAGAAGGCAGGAGAAATAAAGTTGGTAGTAAAAGATGTCAAGACAGAAGCAGAGATTGGAGAGATACAGCTAGAGTGAAGGGATGTTAACATCCTTGGAAGAGGCAAAGAACAGACTCACCTCTGCAGCCTCCAGAGGGAATCTGTGATATGTCACTTTGCCTAGTAAAGGGGACTTTAAAGATGCAGCTAAGGTTGCTACAGACCTTGTGATTTGGAGATAATCCTGAATTACCTGGTGGGCCCAATCACACGAGTCCTTAAAAGCAGAGAACTTTTCCTGGCTGTTGTCAAAGAGATGTAATGGCAGAGAAGAGTACTGGCTTGGAGGATGGGAGAAGGGGGCCCCTAGGAGCTGGACACACAAGGAAATGATGCCCCTCTAGGGCCTCTCAAAAGGACCAGAGCCTTGTCAATATTTATCTTAGTCAGTGAGACCCATGTTAGACCTCCAACCTACAGAATTACAAAATAATAAATTTGTGCTATTTTAAGCCACTAAGTTTGTAGTAATTTGTTACAGCAGCCACAGAAAACTAACTAGGAGTGTTGACCAAAGATGAAATGGTATCTGGGAGGAAGAAAAAGGCTTTCTATCATTCCTGATATAGCCTACCTCATTCAGGAAACACCTGGCTTTGGCAGAAATGCAAATATTTTTGCTGGTAATCCTTTAGGCCCAGTCTGGTTGACAGAATTTACATTTCTGAAGTTGTACACTCATTTTGCCCTGGAGTAGAATACATTCTGGGTTGAACACTTAGAATAGTGTCCAGTATATACAGTGGGTCCCTTAGAAAAATGTGTTGAATAAATAAATGAATGTGATCAAGGCAGACTCTGGGAGAGACTCTATTTTAAAGTGCTATTTAAGAGATCTTCTCAAGAACTGCTGACCTTTCTGTCTGTTTCTGGTTTATGATAGTCATAGTTCCGTAAAATACAAGGCCAAACTGTATTTTTTGACACTAGTAATAGAGCTAAATCAGTAAGTATAAAGGACACGTACGGATGGACGCATACAATCTTAATAGAAGGAAATTATCTGATCAACATATTTCAAAATCAGAATACAGATACTTTTCAATATAATCACAGCAAAAATTTCAATTTGATCAGAGGATTTCTTGATAGCTGTTGATCAACGCACCATCAAGAAACTTTAGTGCAAATTTTACCAAATGCATTTATCAAAATGGGGTTTTGTTCATTTTCTCTGCAAACAAATGTTGTTACATTAACCCAGAGCATGTAACAAATTGGTTTGCCTGAATATTTACAAGCTATCAACATAAACCAGCCCTGCAACTAAAAACTCAAACATTTATCTCAAAATCTATTCCTGGTCCAAATTCATCTATACTAAGGCTGGAAGACAGAATAAGAATAAAACCGAAATTTTTCTGTATAAATAATAAAAAATAGTTTGTTTTCTTAATGCTATAAGTATTTTCCTTATTATTATGGTACATTATCTTTCCTACATGCTACTGCATGGATAGGAGCTGTATTATTTTAGTTGCTGAAGTATCACAGTGTTAAGAATATCTGCTTCTTGTAGTGTCAGGCTTTCATCTGTTAGCTCTTTATTTGGAAATGAAGTCACAAGAATAAAGTCAAGAGTTGCAAATTCAGGACGGGACTGTATAATAAAGTTCCGGACATCCAGGATCCTGAAAGAAACAAGATGAAAATAATTTGTGATACAAAAATTTTATTTTCATGTAAGCTTTTAGCTAAAATTAGATAGTGATATAAATCATACAATTCTAATCCTTATTTAAATGTACTGTAATTTTTAAAAATTTACGTTATTTCAATGGATGGATTTATCTTGGATTATAGATACAATCGAGCATTACTCCTGGAGTGTAGCTAATATTTACCTTTTCTGTAAAGAGACAATCTTTAGGTGAGTTATGCATAAAATAGATGTCAACAATGTTATTATATTAAAAGTGCAGGTCCCATTCTTTTCAGAGTATAAAATATCTTAGCAGCAGATGACCTAGAAAAAATCCCCAGCAGCACGTCACATAGTTTTATAAAGATAAGAAACCATGTGTGAAAAACCACAAATGAGCTTACCTGTGTGTACTATTGAATCTTTGTATCAAACGACTCCCATCTGCTAATCTGATTTGAATTTTTGTTGTTGGCACAGAATCATCAATAAGAACAACCGCATTAAATATTGACTTATCCTCCTCTTCTGGAGATGAAGGTGTACTGACTATTTCAGGGGTAAGGCTAAGAAAGAAGAACTGAAAAATTAGAACATGAATCTGAATACACAAGAATAACCATGACATCCATGGCTGAGTCTCAAGTGTTCCTGCCTGTGACTTCCTTACTTCTTTCAAAGGAAACATGGCTTCTTTTGAGTCTCCCATATTTCTTTCAACTTCTTTCAATATATTAAAATTATTTTGTATCCTATGATTCAAGTTTTGTTTATCCAATCTCTTTCAAAAGCCTAACTTTGTATTCTTTTCTCCCTTTTCCCTTTGAAATTCCATGAGGCTGTTAGCACAACAGTCTTCACTCAAAAATCTGAGCAACTCTGAGTTAATGTCAAAGAATGACAATGAGTACAGACAGACTTGATTTCAAATCCCAGCTATGTCAACTGCATAAACTTGAGGAAGTAAATTAATCTCTCTGAATCCCAGTTTTATCATGTATAAAATGGGGGGTGGAGGGAGACAACTATACAATGTTATGTAGGTTTGTTATACCAGTAAGTCCCATAGTGCCTAGAACAGTGTTTCAACAGGTGCCAACTAGTTTTGTACATATCATCAGCACTGAATTATTAGCTTAAACTTATCTAATATTACTTAGAAACACCTGATTTAAGTAGTTACTCCTTTATGAAAGAGAAGTAATTTCTAAGTGCTAGTGAGGAATGAAATTTTATATATGGTGATAGATTTACTTGTGTTACTTATTTTTTAAAAGGTTTTATTTATTTATTTTTTTAGAAAGAGAAAATGTGTATGTGCAAGTCAGAGAGGGAAGGGACAAGCCTTCTACACTGAGCACAGAGCCCGATGCGGGGCTTGACCCCAGGACCCTGAGATCCTGACCTGAGCTGAAATCAAGAATCGGACACACACTCAACTAAGACACGCAGGTGCCCTGCCCCCATGGTGATAGATTTATAATAAAACTTATTTGATGGGACATCTTACCATTGGAACTTGATTACTAAGGACCTTAGTACTGCTTTTTTAGTGCCTTCTAATGCTATCAGGATGACCCATCACTGTAAGTTGAAAGTCATTTATGTCAAAAATAAAGTGTTCTTTTGGTTAAGAAATTAAAACAAATTTAGCCAAATTCTTTATAGATATCAACTCTTAATCTTCTTTATCTAAAGAGATTATTTAATAGTCTTAATGTTTATCTTCTCAAGTACTAAGATTCAGATGGTATCTCATAAATTATTTTCTTTTGAAAAAAATAAGTATATATTTATTAGTATAAAAGTTCCAGGAGCATTTTGATTCTGCTTTAGCTCATCCTGATTCTTATTCTCATCCAAAGTTTCTCAAAATATACAGTGAAGTGGTAAAATTAAATGGTACTTATTCCTAACACTTCCCCTTTCTTTAGCTATTTCCTGACATAAATTTTATATCATTATTTAAAAGATCTTATTTGAGAGAGAAAGAGAGAGAAAGAGCGCGCACACAAGCAAACATGAGCAGGGGAAGGAGCAGGAGGCAAAGGGAGAAGCAGGCTTACCACTGGGCAGGGAGCCTGATGCAGGGCTCCATCCAAGGAACCTTAAGATCATGACCTGAGCTGAAGGCAGATGCTTAACTGAGCCACCCAAGCGCCCCTCCTGACATATTTAAGAATTGATTTCAGAGTATATACGATAAAGACATGAAAAAAAGAAAATGGTAATTTGTAATCACTGATCAGGTATTACTAAGGAATTTTCTTTCAAGTTTGGAACTGAGGACTTCACCACTACGTTGGTTCACTGTGTCAAGAGTCCAGCGTCCCTTACATACTGAGAGGTACAAAACCCAAAGGGATGGTACACTGAATGCAAAGAGCTTCTCCTCTCTTCCTCTGCCTCACCAATAACTAGGTATATACATTATTATTATTATTATTATTATTATTATTATTATTATTATTATTATTATCACTACCACCATCACAGCCATCACTTCATTTGTTCATTTAAGTCACGATGTGAAGGAGGGAGCAATTGCTGAATAGTTAACAACATGGATTCAGGAGCCTGACTCCAGGATTTTTCTGATTCTACAACGTATTAGATGTGTGACCCTGGGCAAGTCACTAAATAGTTTCCTCACATGCAAAACAGATAGCAGCAGCACAGCAGTAAAGATTAAGTTAATGAGGACATATAAGCATTTCAAACAGTGCTTTTACACAGTTGACACTTCTTAAAAGGCAGCTACTAGCATCATGATTCCTATCCTAACAACTAGGGAGGGAAAAGTTTTCTTTGTGGATAGATGAGAAAGGCCACATTCATCTTTGGTTCTTTCCAGGATAAAAGTTGCCTCAGACCCCTATTTCTGTACTTTACTGCTTTCTGTTTAAAATAGATTCTGATCAGATAAGCTTCTTCTCAAAATACAAAAAGAAAATACCAGGTAGGGAAACTAAGTAAGGAAAGCTCTTCACGCATTTCTTTATAAGATGTGTATATGTCAAAATGAAATTATATGCATCATAATATTTGAGAACAGGAATGGATTTTCAAGATAGTTTAGGTCAACCATATCATTTTATAGGAAAAAAAAGAGTCGGAGAGATAGAAAGACATGCTCACAGCCAAAGAATTAGATAGCTGAGCAAGCTGGTGAGGTATAAAAACACATTTAAAAAAATTACAGTAACTTTACTAGTTAGCCTTCAGAGTTGTACCTGATTATGACTTAACAGTTTTTCCTTATCATTCAACTGATAAAATATAATGACATTTTCAGTATATTGTTTGTATGATTCAAGTATTACATTAAAAAGAGGCAAGTTAACTAATAAAATAAACTTTCTAGGCAAACTGCAAGAAAGGATGTAGGTTGGTTGTAAGAGGAATGAGTCCCTTGGTCAGGAAAAGAAACATCTTCTAACTTAAGAGAGGGCAATAAGGATGGATTTAATAAACTTGGAAGCTAAGAGGAATATATTAAGCTCATTCATTGTCAGGCTCCATTTTCTTGTGTAGGCAAAAAAAAAAAAAAAAAAAAAAAAGGAAAGAAAAAAAAGTCTACTGAGATGACTGCGATGAGAGCAGGGAACATCTGGGATCAGTGGACAGTGGGAGAGGTGCCCGCCCAGCATGGGAGTGTGAATATCCCCACCAGTACTGAACTGCAGAGGAGCAGACAAATCCAATGGTTGAACAGGAAGGCTGGGATAAGACAATGAAAAGGCAGGAAGGAAAGGGTCATTAGGCTTTAGAACAGAGAGCTCCTAAGGGTCCAGGGATCAAGATGAAGTCAAAACTCAGGTTGAGAGGCCAGAATCGGTGAGTGGCAAATGGAATCTTTCAGACTGCACAGTATGAAAAACAGACAGTAACTGCGTAGGCAGAGAGGTTTGCTTCCAATCACGATCTGTGTCACCATATGCACGAGCTCAAAAGCCTCCAGCAACTATCTACTTGTTAGCTCTGCTTATCAAAAATGATTCTGTGATATTCTAGGTCTGTTGGGCTCTGCTCCAGCTCACTTAACTGATTCTTAAGCAGTTGTACAGTTTATTCTGTCACGGTAAATTTGCAAGTGTTACAGCTATGATTTGCTTGCTCCTATGATACTACGTGAAGGAACTACGTAATATTTTTACTGCATTTAGGCTTACCCCACAATAATTTATAATATCATAGTAAAAAAATTAAGTTAGTTTTCATCTATGTAATGTTATGTTTGCAATAAGACTGCCAACTATGGAAGACAATGGAATTATTTCCATTTGTTTCGTTTGCTTCTTTTTATTTCTCTGTTCGGTAGTTGCTTGGAACTCTTGGGAAATGAACCATCTCAGAAAGTGATTTTCTGAATACATGAAGGTTAACTGTTAGAACTTTCATATTTTAACAGATTTCTTAATGGAAAGCCTTCTAAAATGTTCTATACAACTCTTCACTTTCTTAGAACATATATTCAACTGTTCAACATTCCAATTCATGTGCACCACAGAGGCTCACACCACATTAATCTAGTGTAATTTCCTATACAGAAGCTGAAAATTCTAAAGACTACATTTCTCAGACTCCCTCCCTTGCAGCTAGGATTTTATATGATTCCACCTTCTACTGAGCAAAAATACACACTTGTGTGGTAAACGTTAAGTACTGTGAAGTGAAAGTTATGCAGCTCTTCTGGATACCAAGGTGTTGGAGGTATTTGATTCTTCTACAGAGGTCATGATGGAATGTTCTAGTGTCTGGTCCCCAGATTCATGGGCACTGAGCAGCTGATGGGGACACAGGAAATGTTCTTTCTAGATAGATTTGTTGTTTGTTTCTTCTAGGAAAGTTTGATCTGCTAGCTCCAGAAATGCTATCAACTATCCAGGGCTCTGTCAGAAGCCCCTTATTAAATTACTGAGTAGATTTCGTTTTCTATAATAAAAAACCCCGACCAATACAGCTAATGATTAACAACCCAGCATTCTTACAACTTAGTTTTGTCACTCTCCTCCATCACTGCCTCTTTCATGGGAGTCATTTTCTCTAGCTATTTGACTTACGAGAAAGGCCAATCTTTGTAAGATATGAAAATGAGATAATATCCTTATTTTCAGGAGTTGAAATTGTCAACTGTAATCACTGGCTCTTTTCAGCTATCTTCCCTTTATGGTACTTTTTTCAATTTCAGTTCTAGATTTACTGTTCTGCTAATCAAGATGTACAGTCTAACGTTCATTCTTGGTCATGAATTTAAATAAGAAGGAAAATATGAAAAAAAAAGGAAAATATGTATAAAGCAGAGACATGGCTGCATCTTTTACCTGTGTTCTAATTAAAAATCATAATCTCAATAAACATTAAGACATGAGAAGTGCTAGGGGTGTGTCTGAGTGGCTCAATTGGTTAAGCGCCTGCCTTCAGCTCAGGTCATGATCTCAGGGTTCTGAAATTGAGCCTCGATGCCCCTTGTAGGGAATCTGCTCTTCTCTATTTATCCTTCCCCCTGCTTGTACATGCACTCTCTCTCTCTCTCTCTCTCAAATAAATAAAATCTAAAAAAAAAAAAAAAAAAGAAAGAAATGAGAAGTGCTAGAAAATATTTTTAAAAATATATCTGGAGGTCATAGTTATAAAAACAAAAGAGAGGAAGAAAGAACAATCAGGACAAATCTGACCTGTGTTGGTAGTAAGGAGAGATGAGGGAGAAAATTTCCAAGTAGACCTGTGAGTGGGCACTGAAGGATTTGGGTCCTAAGAAAAGCCAGGGTGACACGTGTTCCTGTATTCTCTACATGCCTCAGAAATCAGTCTCTATCAGGAGAAAAGGATACAGAAAGGGACACTTGAGGTATGAAAGACAAGTGTAAAGAACTGACATGAATTCTTCCCTATTTTTAGAAATGCAAGGGGAATGGAGAACCACTGTACACAAGCCAAGTGAAGAGAAGTTGGAAGGCAAGGAATCACACAAAAAAGAACAAAGGATACACAAAAGGGTATACTAGAAACATGGCCAATACTCCAATTTCACATGTCACTTATAGTAATACGCAGACATATAATACAGGGTAACTTTTCCCAACAAATTTCATGAGATTTATGAAAATTCTTTGAAGGTACATATTTTATACAGGAGTCCACTCACATTATACAATGCACATTGGTTTCTGAACTGTAATCAGCAAAGTCCTAGGGGATCTTTTAGAAACATCTCTGAGGCAATTCCTTCCTTCTACAACAGAAGCTCCAGTTTTGTTAAGTGTTTTATGTGCTGGTTTTCCCTAACTTGAAGGCAGACATGCTTACTAATAAGCATGATCTAATAAGATCTAATAAGATAAGATCTAATAAGATACCGACTGTTCAACCTAATCAAGAACCCTTTACAATTTCCTCTTTTGAGCTCATGTACTCAGAATGAGGTAGGATGGTACAATGGTAAAAAGCAGACTTGAGTCATAGTGTCGGTCTGAATCCCAGAAAGTAACCACTTCCTAGCTCAATCTCCTTGGGCATACTATTGCATAAGCAAATGAAGTCACCACAGGATCTGCATCCAAGAGTTGTAAAGATTAAGTGAGTTAATATGTATAAAAGTGCTTAGGGGCCAGGAATGTAGTAACTGCCATCTAAGTACTAGCTACTAATATTATCACTAGACTATCACTAATATAATCATTAGCTACTAATATCATCACTAGTACCTAATTCCATCAGTAAGGTCTTCACAGTTCATGCTTTAGTTTTTACTTTCTAGGTCATTTTGCTGTTTTGTTTCTCAAAGGATAGTCATACTGAACAAAAACAAGTATCTTTCTCATTTTTCAGCATTTTACCTTCCAAGTTTTTGTCCTTCTCCACTAAAAGCCTTGAACCTCAATCTAGGTTTTATGTATTCTTGATCCTGGTGGTCCTCCATATCCAAATTCACATGGCCACCATGAACCAGTCGCTGAAGTTCCAGGGGAATCTCTCTTTTAAAAAGGGAAAAAGGTTTTAGTTAACTCAAAAAAAATTAATCCACACTGACATTACTATAATCAAGTTGTGAGTTATTCTGGAAATATTTTCTTCTTCAAGTTGCATCATATTATAGAACCTTCAGTTTTGCTTTGCTTTTTCAAAATTGTTTTGTTTATTTAGGGTCTTTTGTGGTTCTATATAAATTTTAGGGTTGTTTGTTGTAGTTCTGTGAAAAATGCTGTTGGTACTTTGATAGGGATTGCATTAAATCTGTAGATTGATTGTTCTGGGTAGTATAGACATTTTAACAATATTTGTTCTTCCAATTCATGAGCATGGAATGTCCTTCCATTTCTTTGTGTCATCTGAAATATTACCTCACCCTTGTCAGAATGGCTAAAACAAAAAATACGACAGATACATGTTGGCGAGGATCTGGGAAAAACGGAACCTTCTTGCACTGTTGGTGGGAATGCAAAATAGTGCAGCCACTCAGGAAAACAGTAGGAAGGTTCCTCAGAAAGTTAAAAATAGAGCTACCGTATGATCCAGCAATTACACTACTGAGTATTTATACAAAGAATTCAGGGACACTAAAGCAAAGGATATACACAGCATCATTTACAATAGCTGAAATATGGAAGCAGCCCAAGTGTCCACTGACTGATGAAGATGTGAGAATCAACACACACACACACAGGAATATTATTCAGCCATAAAAAAGAAATGAAGTCTTGCCATTTGCAATGACATGAATGGAGCCAGAGGGTATAATACTAAGCAAAATAAGTCAGTCAGAGAAAGACAAGTACCATATGATTTTACTCATATGCAGAATTTGAGAAACAAAATAAAAGCAAATGAACAAAAAAAAAGGACAAACCAAGAAACAGACTCTTAACTATAGAAAACAAACTGAAGGTTATTTCAGGGATGGAGTGGGGGAATGGGTTAAAAAGGTGAGGGGATTAAGGAGTGTACTTGTCCTGATGAGCACTGGATGATACACAGAATTACTGAATCACTATATTGTATACCTGAAATGAATATAACACTGTATGTTAACTATACTGGAATTAAAATTTTAAAACAAGTTGCATCACCTCATTCCCAGTGATTCTCAATATAGGGACTTTTTGTTGTCACAGTGATCTTGGAGTGCTTCTAACATTTAGAAACCCAAATTGCAAGACAGTAATTTATACCTAAATAAGCACTAGAAAATTCCTATGAAGACATAATAGTTAATGAAGATATTTATTTCTAAAATCTTTGGAAGAAGTTTTAAAAATTGATGTATTTGATGGTCATGTGGTTCGTGACTGCTGTTGTTGTTCAGGGTCAGGATCCAGATACGAGATGCACTCTTCTATAGGGATTCATCTTGCCTAATCAAGTCTTGTCTTGGGTCCCACAGAACCACTGAATGCCCTGCTAGAGATTTGCATGATGAGGACACTGTAGTGTCTGAGCCTAAAACTTAAAGCTTAAGGTCTGTCTTACAAAGAAGAAAAAAGGACTTTCTTTTGGTGGGGGGAGCATTGTATTAATACACTTTGAAATTTTCAGGAATACCTGTACCATATAAACCAAGAGAAGACTGTGTTTTGTTTGGAACTTTATCAAGTCCCTGACTACAACGCCACTGCTAGTAATTATGCTGCCAACCGCACATACTTCATTATTCTGTTTTTTGTGTTTGTCACATTTTCTTGAGAAGTGCTAAACTGCACATAGGTGCAAACTATCTGACTACTTTTATTATGTCTTCTGGTGTGGTCAAACAAAAGCATTTATAAACTGAAATATATACAATTTTATGATATTTTATTTCAATATATTTAAGATAAATATTATATCTTTTGGGGGAAATAATATGTAGGGACAGATTATATTATCTATGGAGTCATTCTTTGAGGACAGTGAAGACAGTATTACAAAATAGTTCTTATAAAAAGAAGACAGCGATTTAACAGTTGACAAACACTATCTGACATCAGTCATGTCTTCAAGGACTTTTTTCTAAAACTGTTGTTGTTCATAATTTGTACTTCAGTCATGAGGACATCATGACTGCTTGAACATTAGCCCACAAAGTTTTTGGCTTATTTTCAATTAAGAATAAATGAGTTTTGATCTACATTATAGTACATTCATCATCAGTATGTTATCTTCCAACATCTTTGAAATAAGCATCAATTTCAACAACAATGTTGATCTTCCCTTAGCAGATGAACATTCCCTTACTTACACGTTCCTAGCTCTTTCCAGTGACTTCAGGTTTCCAAGTCCACAGCACTGACTCAAACTATTATTTCCTTGTATTTATCACCACTATATACTACCTCCTTGGACAGCTTCCCACCTTTCTCAACGTCTTCGGCATACTGTTTACAGTATTTCTTGCGATTTTTTGGTGTCCTGACACTATTTTGTAGAATTCAAATTCAAATTTCATGCTAGTGTTCTAAAGATATCGTTCCTTTAGAGGTCCTTGACTCCCTCTATGCCAGTGAGTTTCACCTCCACTCCACTTCAGCCACTCTCCTTGGACATATTTGTATCACTTGGAAAAGCCCCACCTTTAATTCCTGAATGGAGTATAACCTCCTACTCAGTCTCTTCACTGTGACTTAAATCTCCTAGTTCATCACCAACCTTTTGTGCTTGGTTGTATTTCTACTTAGGAATGATCACATTGTCAGCCAGTGAAAGAATGATGCAGAAAAGCTTTTATAATCATAGCAAAATCACTTGATTCTTCATCCTTTAGCAAGAGCTTAGTGAGCTATGATATTCTTTAGATCGGTCAGAGCACTGTATATCTGGTTTACTTTCACAAACTGTAACTTCAAACTAACTTTTTAAATCTTCTACCAGCAGAAATGCCACTTTAAAAGATTTCTAATATAAGTTTCTGAATTTCAGGCAAACATGCAATGAGAGCCATCCTGTTAACAGTAAGCAGGACAGTGGCTTAGTAGGATGGGCAGCTACAGGCTAATCAATTGTACTGATTTATTATATTGAGATGTTTCTTCTTGGAACAGGGACCACAGCTTGACCAGATCTTGAAAGTGACCAATGTCTACTGCTCCTTCCCACCAAATTAAGAACCAGAGACTTATGGAGAGCAATATATCCTTTTAGATACTTAAAAATACCCTTCCCCCAACTTACATAATATATTCAAGTACCTTAAAAATAAAAAAGTTCCACCCTCAGTGACAAATAGAATACAGGTAAATATATCTTACCCTCTTTTAACAGACTCCAGAAATTGAGCATTTGGTGGGTCATTATAAGGTCTCAGTTCTCCGTCATCTAAACTGAAACCATTACTCCATAGTTTAAGCAAAATCTGAACCTTTTGAACATAGGAAAAAAAAGAAATACAAGAATCCATTTGCATCAAATAATTTTAAGCTTCAAATGCGGCTTCACAACATATTAAACCACCTACTTTATTTCAAATATGGAGTTATTCATTCTATTCTTTAGTTACTGTTAAAGATATAAATGAACGCATGAGTATTTGCTTGGCAGATTTGTATGTAACTTAACAAAGTGACAATGGCTGAAATGCCAAAGGTCCCACAGCTAGATCCTGGCCTTGATGTACAATTAGTCTGGGTCACTGAGAAAATGAAAGCAATTAGAGTGTCCAGCTGCTACTCCACATCCGCTTTTCGTCTTCATCTGTACCTATATTCTTGTCCGCTGCACAGGGCTTAAATATTTATGTCAAGGGCAAGACAGAACTTTCAGTGACCCTATAGGGCTAGAGTACACATGTTTAAATGAAATTATAACTCCAAATTTTAAAAGCCAAAACCAAAGAATGACTTTAGGGATTTCCCTGTTTATAACCTAGCTAATTCTCTATTAATGACATTATACTATTTACAATAATTACTGTATGTATATAAAGCTCATTTTGACAATGAATCCTATCTTTTTTCAACATATAGAAAATATTTACCATCTAAGTGCAAGGCACAATTGAGACACAATATAAAATTTGAGACTAAAAGCTTACACATTAGTCTTAAAATCCAGGTTTCAAAAATAACAGAAATTATATTCATATTACCAATTTTTAACTTTAAAAACAGTAGTCACTGGGATCCCTGGGTGGCGCAGCGGTTTGGCGCCTGCCTTTGGCCCAGGGCGCGATCCTGGAGACCCGGGATCGAATCCCACATCGGGCTCCTGGTGCATGGAGCCTGCTTCTCCCTCTGCCTATGTCTCTGCCTCTCTCTCTCTCTCTCTCTCTCTCTCTATCATAAATAAATTAAAAAAAAAACAAAACATAGAGAAAAAAAAAAACAGTAGTCACTAGAGGCAAGTATCTGCAACTTTTCATTTTGGTTACTGTACCTACATCTTGCAGTTGATTTTCTCCATAGATGTATTCAGACCGCTTACAAAAGGAATTACCCAATCTGTATCCTCCACCTGTAAATGACTAAAATACATAGCAAATGAGTTAAAAATTCACTATGGTTTATCAGGAAAAATGTTATGGTAATGTGTAATATATATTTCAAAACTAGATCAGCTATAATTAGCCAAACCAGTTTATACTTTCCAGGAAAATTTTATATTAAAATGAAGGTTTTATGTTACTGAGAGGTATATACTTAAGTAAGAAATTAGATTTCTTCCCATAAAACATTAGTGACTCAGAAGTTGAAATAATTTAGGCCAATCTTAACTTAAAAAATACATTTATGTACTGAAATATATATTTTCAAGTATAAACAGATTTTAAAAAGCTACCACTAGTATTTTATGATGTCTTCTAATAAAAATTATGTTTAAATCTTATTTCACAAAGTAAATAAAAGTTTCACAATGTAAAAGGAAGAATTTTATAAATGGGTATAAACTACCCTGAGGAAAGGCTCCATAATTATTTTTTAAAGCTGCTTTTATTCAACTGTAATAATCAACTATGATTGTACTTTTTGTTTTACCATATTGATCACAAGGTCTTCTATTTCTCAGGTGTAGGATAGCTTATGAGGTAAAAATGCCATTCCTTTTAATCACTGTGCATCTCATACATGAGCTTTTAATGATCATACTTCTTTCTTTTCTATAGACTAAATATATCAACTAACTATATAAATTCCACATTTTTCTTACAGAATCAGAGAAGCTGCAAGAACGCAAATCACTCCAGACTTAGTTGAAAGAGTTGTAAGCGGTTAGTCAGTAACAAAATGAAAACTAAGATTTATGTTTCATTTAGAATAGTGACTCTTAGCAATGGTTCTCAAGAGTGGATTATCAGACAGGCTTTTTCAGAAGATACATGCTTAGGTATATCAGAAACCTACTGAACCAGAGGCCATATGGTAGTTTAGAAATCCTCCCCAAATGATTCTGACAAGGGAACTCAGGTTAAGAAATGCTAATTTTAAGAATATTATGACAATTATACACAAAAAGACACCTGATGTCTTCATGTCTTCTTCAATATACCAGTACTATGTCAGCTGATATAATTATAAAAGCTGTGTAAAAGATGTATACAAATTTCTGAAGGCACAAAAGCAACTGGAGAAAGGTGAGCTTCTTCAACTAATGATGTAGCAACTGGACACCCATAAACAGAAAAACAAACCTTGATGTAAACCTTATGTAAAATTAACTCAAAATGGGTCACAAGTTTAAGTGTAAAATGTAAACTATAAAACTTTTCTAGATGACATTTAGAGGCCTACATTTAGAGGAAGAGTTCTCAGATAAGAGACCGAAAGAATAACCTAAAGAAAAAAAAAAGATAAATTGGACTTTATCAAAATAAAAAACTTTTGTTCTGTGACAAACCCTGGTAAGAGGATGAAGAGACAAGCTACAATCTAGAAGAAAATATTTGCAATCCATATATTTGATAAAAGCCTCAAAACTAATAAAATACATAAAGAATTCTCAAAACTCAAACAGTAACAATCCTATTTGAAAATAGGTCAAAGTCATTTTACTGAAAGGGATAAGAAAGATAATGGCAAGTAAACAAATGAAAAGATGTTCAGTTCAATATCACCAGCCATTAGGAATATGTAAATTAACATCACTAGCCATGAGGAAAATGCAAATTAAAAACACAATGAGTTATAACTATACATTTACTACCATAACTAAATTTTAAAATAGTGACAATACCAAATGCTGGCAAGAATGGAGAAAAGGGATCTGTCATTCACTATGGAAAAGAGTTTGGCAGTTTCTAAGAAATTAACATATACTTATCATACATCCCAGCAATTGTCCTCCTGGGCATTTATCCCAGAGAAATTAAAACTATTATCTATATAAGACCCTGTGCGTGATTGTTCACAACAGCTTTATTTGTAATAGTTCCAAACTGGAAACACCTTAAATGTCCCTCAATGAGTGAACGCCTAAACGAACTCTGCACATCCATACCATGGAGTAATATCAGGAATAAAAAGAATGAACTACTGAGACAGTTAACTATGATGACCTTCAGGGCCTTAAGCTGAGTGAAAAAAGCTAATCCCAAAAGCTCACATCCTCTATGATTCTGTTTGTATAACATTCTCAATATTACAAAATCATAGAGATGGAGAACAGATTAGGGTGGCAAGAGGTCAGAGACGGTGGGGGAAAGGGCAGAGGGCGTGACTAAAATGGGGCCGAGGGAGATCTTTATGACAACCAAACAGTATCTTGATTGGGTTGACAATTACACAAATTTACTCATGTAAGAAAATGACAGAACTATATACATACATGGTACCAATGTCAAATCTTGCCTTTGATACTACACTCTAATTATGTAAGATATAACCACAGGCTATAACCACATCATAACCATAATGTGGATATAACCACAGGACCTCTTGGTGTTCTTTCTGAAAATCATATGAATCTACAATTATGTTAAAAAAAAAAAAAAAAGGTAAGGAGGAGGGGGCAAGATGGCGGAAGAGCAGGGTCCCCAAATCACCTGTCCCCACCAAATTACCTAGATAACCTTCAAACCACCCTGAAAATTTACGAATTCGGCCTGAGATTTAAAGAGAGACCAGCTGGAATGCTACAGTGAGAAAAGTTCGCGCTTCTATCAAGGTAGGAAGACGGGGAAAAAGAAATAAAGAAACAAAAGGCCTCCGAGGGGGAGGGGCCCCGCGAGGAGCCGGGCTGAGGCCGGGGCGAGTGTCCCCAGGACAGGAGAGCCCCGTCCCGGAGGAGCAGGAGCTGCACCAACCTTCCCGGGCGGAAAGGGGCTCGCAGGGAGTTAGAGCAGGACCCAGGAGGGCGGGGATGCCCTCGGGCTCCCGGGGACACTAACAGACACCTGCGCCCCGGGAGAGTGCGCCGAGCTCCCTAAGGGCTGCAGCACGCACGGCGGGGCCGGAGCAGCTCGGAGGGGCTCGGGCGGCGGCTCCGCGGAGGGGGCTGCGGGGCGGGAGCGCGAATCCCACAGCGCAGGCCCCGGAGCATAGGGCGCCGGGACACAGCCCAGGATCCGGCCTCCCCCGGGACAGGCAGAGGCTGGGAGGGCCCAGGACAGCAAGGACGCTCCTGCCCCGAGCTGAGCAGATCAGCGGCCCCGCCCCGGAGCCTCCAGGCCCAGCGGACGGAGAACCGAGAGCCCCGAGCCCCGTAGTTCCTGCGGAGGCTAAATCCAGGCTTCCAGAGTTGCCATAGCAACTGCTGCTGTTCCTCCTGGGGCCCCACGGGGTAAACAACCCCCGCTGAGCCCGGCAGCAGGCAGGGGCAGAGCTCCCCAAGTGCTAACACCTGAGAATCAGCACAGCAGGCCCCTCCCCCAGAAGACCAGCTGGACGGACCAGTGATACTCCCCCGTGTTCCAGTACAACTTGTTTTTGGCCACTCTGCACTGAGCAAAATGACTAGAAGGAAAACCTCACCTCAAAAGAAAGAATCAGAAACAGCCCTCTCTCCCACAGAGTTACAAAATCTGGATTACACTTCAATGTCAGAAAGCCAATTCAGAAGCACTATTCTACAGCTACTGGTGGCTCTAGAAAAAAGCATTAAGGACTCACGAGACTTCATGACTGCAGAATTTAGATCCAATCAGGCAGAAATTAAAAATCAATTGAATGAGATGCAATCCAAACTAGAAGTCCTAACGACGAGGGTTAACGAGGTGGAAGAACGAGTGAGTGACATAGAAGACAAGTTAATGGCAAAGAGGGAAACTGAGGAAAAAAGAGACAATCAATTAAGGGACCATGAAGACAGATTAAGGGAAATAAATGACAGCCTAAGGAAGAAAAACCTACGTTTAATTGGGGTTCCCGAGGGCGCCGAAAGGGACAGAGGGCCAGAATATGTATTTGAACAAATCCTAGCTGAAAACTTTCCCAATCTGGGAAGGGAAACAGGCATTCAGATCCAGGAAATAGAGAGATCCCCCCCTAAAATCAATAAAAACCGTTCAACACCTCGACATCTAATAGTGAAGCTTGCAAATTCCAAAGATAAAGAGAAGATCCTTAAAGCAGCAAGAGACAAGAAGTCCCTGACTTTCATGGGGAGGAATATTAGGGTAACAGCAGACCTCTCCACAGAGACCTGGCAGGCCAGAAAGGGCTGGCAGGATATATTCAGGGTCCTAAATGAGAAGAACATGCAACCAAGAATACTTTATCCAGCAAGGCTCTCATTCAAAATGGAAGGAGAGATAAAGAGCTTCCAAGACAGGCAGGAACTGAAAGAATATGTGACCTCCAAACCAGCTCTGCAAGAAATTTTAAGGGGGACTCTTAAAACTCCCCTTTAAGAAGAAGTTCAGTGGAACAATCCACAAAAACAAGGACTAAATAGATATCATGATGACACTAAACTCATATCTGTCAATAGTAACTCTGAACGTGAATGGGCTTAATGACCCCATCAAAAGGCGCAGGGTTTCAGACTGGATAAAAAAGCAGGACCCATCTATTTGCTGTCTACAAGAGACTCATTTTAGAAGAAGGACACCTACAACCTGAAAATAAAAGGTTGGAGAACCATTTACCATTCAAATGGTTCTCAAAATATACCCTAAAAACTATAGAACACTTCTGAAAGAAATTGAGGAAGACACAAAGAGATGGAAAAATATTCCATGCTCATGGATTGGCAGAATTAATATTGTGAAAATGTCAGTGTTACCCAGGGCAATTTACACGTATAATGCAATCCCTATCAAAATACCATGGACTTTCTTCAGAGAGTTAGAACAAATTATTTTAAGATTTGTGTGGAATCAGAAAAGACCCCGAATAGCCAGGGGAATTTTAAAAAAGAAAACCATAGCTGGGGGCATCACAATGCCAGATTTCAGGTTGTACTACAAAGCTGTGTTCATCAAGACAGTGTGTACTGGCACAAAAACAGACATATAGATCAATGGAACAGAACAGAGAACCCAGAAGTGGACCCTGAACTTTATGCTCAACTAATATACGATAAAGGAGGAAAGACGATCCACTGGAAGAAAGACAGTCTCTTCAATAAATGGTGCTGGGAAAATTGGACATCCACATGCAGAAGAATGAAACTGGACCACTCTCTTGCACCATACACAAAGATAAACTCAAAATAGATGAAAGATCTAAATGTGAGACAAGATTCCATCAAAATCCCAGAGGAGAACTCAGGCAACACCCTTTTTGAACTTGGCCACAGTAACCAGAGAAGGACAAACAGTGTATGTTCTCATTCATTTGGGGAATATGAATAATAGTGAAAGGGAATATAAGGGAAGGGAGAAGAAATGTGTGAGAAATATCAGAAAGGGAGACAGAACATAAAGACTTCTAACTCTGGGAAATGAACTAGGGGTGGTGGAGGGGGAGGAGGGCGGGGGGTGGGGGTGAATGGGTGACGGGCACGGAGGGGGACACTTGACGGGATGAGCACTGGGTGTTATTCTGTATGTTGGTAAATTGAACACCAATAAAAATTAATTTATAAAATTAAAAAAAAAAAGGTAAGAAACTGAGGCAACTTTCAATCATTAATAGAAAGGTAGTAATCTTATGAAAACTGACTGAATACTAAAAATAGAAATATGTAGTTAGAAAAGTAATGTTTGCAAATAATATAAAAACCTATAGAAGAGACCAAATATATATATTATATTTAGTTTTTAAATTTATCACTTACCTTAGATTTGTTATCACCAGAAGCTCTTGTGGCTTCATTTAGAGGGACAGCCCCATGTTCTCTCGCCTCTTTAAAAAGTTCATTCACAATTTTCCCAGTTGAAGGTCGAACTATATGTAATCCACTGTATTCATGTTCACTTGAATAGAACCTTTAAAGTTCATGAATAGAAACTTAGAACAAACATAAACTACATTAAAGTAAAAAAGCTACAGTCTTACACAGTAACTTATTTAAAAAGAACCATTTTTACGGCTTCTGTGGAAATCTTTAATTTTAAAAATGGGATTAAGGAACGAAACAGTTCATACACTTCCTCATGGAGTTTGTGATTATGGCAGTCAAGGTCAGCATTCCACATGAGAACTGGCTTGTCACTTCTTCTCTCTCCTTTCTGTAACTGCTTATTAAATGCATCTCTTGCACAACTTAGGCACTTTTGGTGTGGTGGGTAAAGCAGTGTTGACAAGCAGAATTAAGTCTCTTCCCGAGGAATTCACACTCAGTAGGGACCTAGTTAGTGAAGGGCTACACATAGGGAGTTTATTCCTCAGAGATTTTTGGATTCAAAAATTATAATTTCCTGTGTTAAAGGTAAATAATTTAGACCATAAACAATGTTTCCAGTGTATTAACTACACAGTGACTGATTTCTAGTTTGACTCCAACTTCATAATGGTCCCAGGAACATAAAAATTCACCTCATTTTTTATATGATTTTATCTATTTTATCTTTCAAGATGTTTTTCAGTGCGGAGTATTAGAAAATAAAGCCAATGAAATACCAACATGGAGACTGCTATATGTTTAACTACTCATACCCTGCAATCCAGTTCCAAATTTGCATTGAACTGTCTCATAAAACAAAGAAGGGAAAACTGTATCAGTGCTGGAGACTAGGAACAGAGGTCACCTTCAAGACTTCCTGCAAAATTAGTACATGCAAAACTGACCAGGAAAGAGGGAAGGGGAGGGTAGCTCTCAAATCACTGTAAGTAAAGGAAAAATCCACTTGGAAAACAAATCCAACAACAGAACCCTATGAACACAAGACTAACTCATAACTGCTGGGGGGAGGGGGGAGGTGGGCTCGCCTCCATCCTGCTAGTGTACCCAGCAAGTACAGAGTGAGTTTGCCCAGAGCAGAGTCAGAGGTCCTCCACAGAGGACCTGGTGTAGCAAGGCCAAACAATACCATAGCTGGTAATATGAGGAGGAGCTCGAGGAGGACGACTTAAGGCAGTTACCAGAAAGGAGGGAAAGAGGGAGGGGGAAATGAAAACAAAAGAAAAAGCCTTCTGTTGTAGCTCCTTCCCTCTCTGACCAGTGTCTTTTTCCTGGAAAGTACAGCTATATAGCTCCTTTCTACCTCAGCTGTGCTTAGAAAGACCTTACAGGAAAAATCTGAAATGGGAAAAGATTTACTAGCTCCTTTAATGGTTAATGATTTTATTTCCTGTTTAAGAAATCTTTGCCTACTGAAGGTCATGGAGATACTCCATTTTCTTTTTCTTTTTTTTTGATACTCCATTTTCTTCCAGAAGTTTTATCATTTTCTTTTTATCTTTATATTTTATTGTTTTCCCTATTATATATTATTTTTCTATTTACATTTCCTTTTGTATTTAGATACACAATCCATCCATTTCTCCTCCTTCCTAATTAAGTATGTTTATATCCTTGACTCTCATTCTCTACTTAAACTCCTTTGATCATCAAAATATTTGTGCACTTCTACAGATAACAGCCTCCTCTACAAATGACTTATGGTCAAGTGCTGAATTTATTTATTTATTCATTTTTACTCTTTTTAAAGATGTATTTATTTATTTTAGGGAGAGAGGGAGAGCATGCAAGAGTGAGCAGGGGAGGGGCAGGGGGAGATAGAATCTCAAGCAAGCCCCCTGCTGAGCACACATGCCCAAGGCTGGGCTCCATCTCAAGATTCTGAGATCATAATCTGAGCCAAACCAAGAGTTAGCAGCTTAAGTGACTGAGCCACCCAAGTGCCCCACTGATGGGCTGAATTCAAAAGCACCTACTGAATGTACATCATTTTTCCAAAACTAAACCTGTATTCCTCACATAAATCTCCCCATTAACAATCACATTTTTTCCTGTACACCAGATTAAGAACCTTTAGGTCTCAATTTCTCATTCACTTGCTTCCTATATCCAATGTCATCAAGTGTCTACAATAAATTCTTTGAAAGTCTCCCACGCTGATTTCACTCTTTCTCCTCCATTCCACTGATGCCACTTTAATCCAAAATTTTATTACTACATTCTTTAGATTACCGTAATTGTTTTCTTCTTAATTTTTCTTATCTTGTTCTCTTCGTTACTATTAATTTTGCACTGTATTTCTGTCCTATTTTTCTAAAAATATAGTAACAGCTAGTTCACTTCATCCTTCTAACAATGGTATTATAACAATGGTATTATCCCTGATTCACAGATAAAACTAAAGCTTAGGGAATTTAAAAAACTTGGCAAAACCTTATTAGAACAGAGAAAAAAACCTTAAAACTGAGGTATATCCATCGCTAGAATCAAAGCTTTTATCACATATATTACAGTTTTATCATAAAATTTACATTAAAAAACATATACTGGCTTTCCACTGCTTTCTACACAAATACAATTCCCCTTGGCTTTCAAGGCGGTCCATAATGTGGCTTTATTCAGGACTGGCTACACAATTTGTGGGGCCCAATGCCAAGTGAAAATGAGTCTCCTTGTTCAAAATTCATTAGGAATTTCGATACAGGAACAACAAAACATCAACCCAAGCATGGAGCCTTTCTCAGCATGAGGCTCTATGTGAATGCACAGGTTACACATCCCTGCAGCACACTCTGCCAGCACTCCACTCTTTAACCTTATTTGCCACTAGACTATGAAAGTTCTGCTGGCTCCTTTTCTGATTCCTCTTGTCATATTTATTATTTTCTCTTCTGTCCCTATTTGTTTCTGGAATCATTTCCCTTGTCTTTTGCCAAGTAGAATGCATGGCCCTTGGTTAAATCCTAAATCCAAAAAAGGCTTGAAGACATGTCTGACTATGGACTACATATTAAATGATTTTATGAAATTATGGTTTATTTTCTAAGGTATGATATGTTGTAAGAGTTATAAAGGAGTACATGCTTCCTAGGAGATACATGCTGAAGTATTTAGGGATGAAGTGTTAGGACGATTGCAATTTGCTTTCAAATAGTTGAGTAAGAGTGCTTGCATGATGTTATGCTATAACATGTTAACAACTGGTGAATATAGGTGAAGCATATATAGCATATATTCATTGTACTAATCTTTTGATTCCTTATGGGTCTGAAAATTTATAAAATAAAAAGTTTAGGGAAAAATTAATATTCTGTCTTCTTATTCAGGTCCAAAAACATGTCATTTTTCTCTCTCCTACAGAAAAAAAGATGTGGAAAATGACAGACAAAAAAGAAAAATTTCCAGTGAATTTTTAGTTATTATTTTAAAAATTTATTTGAGAGAGAGAGAGCACAAGCAGGGGGAGAGAGAGAGAAGCAGACTCCTCGCTGAGCGGGAAGCCTGAAAACGGGGTTTGATCCCAGGACCCTGAGATCATGACCTGAGCTGATGCAGATGTTTAGCTGACTGAGCCGCTCAGGTGCCCCCTTCCAGTGAATTTTTAAACTTCTGATAAAGTGATAGACTTTCTGTAAATGATATATAATGGAAAAATTCCACATATCTCCCCAGTAAGGAGATTCACAGTATTTAAAAGACCTTACTAGGGGATCCCTGGGTGGCTCAGCGGTTCAGTGCCTGCCTTCAGCCCAGTGCGTGATCCTGGAGTCCCGGAATCGAGTCCTGCATTGGGCTCCCTGCGTGTAGCCTGCCTCTGCCTCTCTCTCTCTCTCTCTCCCCCTCTGTGTTTATCATGAATAAATAAATAAAATCTTAAAAAAAAAATAAGAAAAAGACCTTACTGAAAATATTCCTAAAAATAAGAAAATTCATGGTAATAAAGAATTCCTGGCTCTCATCTTTTTATCTTCATGGCTGGCTCTCTTTCTAGTTCAGGAATTTTAACAACAGCAAATATTATCCAGGAGATCACATCATTCAGTGAAAGCATAGACAGGTTCTGGAAGTTCTAGATCCTCAAATTGGGGGCAAGAGGCACACAGGGGCTCCACAAGTGGGTTTTCAGGAACACAAATCCTTTTTTTTTTTTTAACTTTATTTATTTATTCATGAGGGACACAGACAGAGAGAGAGAGAGCAGAGGCAGAGGGAGAAGCAGGCTCCAAGCAGGTTGCCTCACGTGGGACTCGATTCCGGGCCTCTAGGATTACATCGTGGACCGAAGGCAGTGCTAAACCACTGAGCCACCCAGGCTACCCCAGAAACACAAATCCTTAAAGACAACGGACAAAATTGTGCATAAATGCAGTTTTGCGGGGAGAGGGGCTACAGCTGTCAGATCCTCAGTGCATCCTATAAACCAGTGTGTCTAAGAAAAATACTCCTCAGTGGATGTCTTTTTATGACGTCTGCCAAAGTATTAGGTATTTAAGATAATTTTTCTGTTCCTTTTAGCTTTCTATTACCATTTTAGGAACACTACCTAAATAATATATTTTTTAGAAATCATAGTTTTAAAGAAAATTCCCAAGGCCATCTAAAATAATTTAGGATTAGTGAATTAAAAAGAAATACAACGTTTAAAGCCAAAAGAAGACAAAACCTACCTTTGAGGTGGTGTTCGTGGGCTTTTAAAGACTGTAGCTTTAGGTCTATCGGATTTGGAAGACTTGCATTTCACTTCATCTTCATATAATTCTGCCAAAGCCAACTATAAAATAACAGATTTGTTACAAAGTATAACACTAGAAATGAACTCTTCTACACAAGTAGAAATTATGAGTAGAACATGTGATTGTGCAGTACAAATTTCTAATGAAAAATAAAGGCTGCTGTTTCAGATGACCCCCTTCCACAGTAAAACCAATGTATCTCTCACTTGATTAAAACTAATCAAAATGCCACATATAAAAGTTACAACAACTACTTAAATAGTGTAATTATTTTTTTAAAGATTCCACTGATTTATTTGACAGAGAGAGAGAAAGAACGTGCGCGTGTATGTAGGCAAGCATGCGCACATAAGCCGGGGGAGTGGCAGGCAGAGGGAGAGGGAAGAGCAGGCTACACACAAAGCAGGGAGCCTGATGTGGTAACCCATCCCAGGACCCTGGGATCATGACCTGAGTTGAAGGCAGATGCTTAATGGACTGAGCCACCCAGGTACCCCTTAATTATTTTCAATTAACTATTCAACTGTTTCAAAAACTGGGAATAGATCATTTTCAAATTTGGACCTACAATTTTCCTATAATAATAAAAAAAAAAATGCTTGAAGATGTTTCACACCAGTATCAGCCTGCTGTCATCAAATCTCATGAAGTTATTTCATTTAGCTGTTTAAGTTTGCAAAATCCAAGCATATAAAATAATTTCAAAATTATTCTATTTAAAAGTCTGCCTGACATAAAGTTTATCAAGTTTAGGAAAATGAACTTTCAAAGATTTAAGACAATATATTACATATATATATATGTATATATATATATATATGTTTTTTCTAACTTTTAGAAAGCAATATTACCAAATTATGCATTATAGATACATGGCTAGGTACCTTTAAGATGAAATAAACATAATGTAGTTCTTAGAATTGGAATTTTAAAAAATTATCTAAATACTTCAGCATTAAGTTATTTTGTTCCCACTTTTGACATCTTGGACAACCATTCAAAAACTTTGCCTTATACCTCCATAACTGGTATGATCATAATCTCTGGAAAATCTTTGGGGGAAAAAAAAATCCCCCCAAAAATCCAGATAAAGTGATCCCTCCAGAAATACAAGAAATATGAAAACTACCTCCAGGGCTTCTTTCCTCAGAAGGAAAAGAAGAATTGTGACAAAGTTCTTTGAAGATTTGATTAGTCAACTTTTAAAATATACATACACATTAAAAAATATATATATTATATTCATATATATTATACATATATAATATATACATACACAAAAAACAAAAACAAAAGGATTTATTTTCCTTCCCAATTTTTCCTCCCTACCCCATCTACATACAGCTACAACTTTCATATTTCTGACATGGCAATTTTGTTAGAAATCCTTATTATGAAAGGGCTTTGTAATCTAAAAGAACTGAATTAAAATCCTAACTTGGACTCATGATTTGACCTTGGGCATGTTATTTAACTTCTCTGAGCCATGGTTCCCTCACCTTTAAGTGTCTATTAAAAGAAAATTACCTTGGACGGTCATTTTAAGGATCACAGAATGCATGTGAAGCGTAAGGCAAGTGCTTCATTACTAGAAGACATTAAAAAACGTTTAACTGTGATTATATCAGTGTTTCATTTTCCCCAAGATTTATTTCTTCAGTGTTAGCTATATATTTCCTATGGTCTCTTCCCACCCTAGTCCCTCTGAAACTAAACAAAACAAAACAAATGAGAGAGATGGAGACAGACACTCTGCCTGACTCCTTGGGTCCAATGTTTTCAGGAATTTTACTTCCCTAAAATCTGTTCAAAACAGTATTCCTTTATAGAATTCCTCTTGAGCCAATTATATTATTTCAGCTCTATGAATTACTTTTATGTGATTTTTAATCCCATCAGTGGAAATGTTACCTATATCTCAAAGGTCTACTTCAGCCATCCTTCACAAAGCCATTTCTACTTTTACCTTAATGATATTTCTTTCCTAACTCATAGCATATGCTATCCTACCATTAACATTTATATTAAACATCATATTGTCATCACGTGTACTTTTCTTACTATTTTATTTCTCCTGCTATAATTGAGGTTTCCTAGATTGTTTCTAATATAGTACTTCATGGTCATCCAATAAATTTATGTTTGAATTATGTAGATAATATATATAGATAAAGTCTAAAATTCAGATTTTCTATGTAGTTTTGTACCTTATTTGCTTTTGTTTAAGATTTGAACAAACCCTGTCACTCAACTAATTTTCTTCTGTAAAATAAATGAATAAAGCAAATGTGTTTTGACTCTGTGGAATATATAAACAAAATAGGAATATGGGGTAAATTGTATTAGAGCAGGGAGTACACCTAGCTGAAAGGTCTTAGTTATTAATGGTACACTATTAACTTAGAGGAAAACAAATGATATTTAGAGGGAATTAATGCTGGGATTCATGATGTCCCTGCGGTATCATATGGTATAAATTCATTAGTAAATATTATAAAGAAATTTAATTTGTATTAGTTGACAAAGCAAATGACACCACACCAAAAAAGAACTGATTACTTAAACTGATCAAAATAAAGCACTAGTCAAAACAAATAAAACAACAATGACAACAAAGTATCAGTCAAATAAAGAGATAAGAATATGTGCACTGTGAAGTAATGAAGACTGAATAATCAGGACAGAGTGTTCCACAGGCTAAGCAATTAGATTATGAAGCCACCTCAACTACACAGAAGGAATAAAGTACAGTACATAAGTACTGATAATCTTTGTTCTGGAATTTGAAATGTGAAGCACATGAAAAGAAACTTGAAAGCAAAGTAATCAAGAACCAGAAAATCAAGTATAGAGCAAAAGATTAAATTCTCAGTCTTAGAATGACAACTGCCAGAAGGTATACGGATTTTTAAAAATATAGAATAGCAAAATTAACATCACCCAGGAACCTTTGAAAATGCAGATGCTCTAGCCCCACCCTAGACTTAATGAATGAAAAACTCAGATGGGGCCCTGCAATCTGTGCTATATCAAGCCTTCCAGACGATTCTGATACACCCTGAAATTGAGAACCAATAGTATGAAATACTGATATCCAACAGGATTAGGATACTTGTTGAAACTGTAACATAGTACCAGACATTCCTACTCTTTTCTCATGGTTAGAACTCCACTGTCTATCCCACTCCATCTTGACCCTAATAAAGTACTGAAGTGATCTCTATCACCCTCCAACTCTAACATACGGAAATACAGAATTAAGAACAGAAATTTTTTTCTTTTGATATTATTCTGCAGGAAACCTGAGACAGAAGTATACAATTAAATATGTTAGCCAACTATTAAACCCATGTGTGTAGACAGACTGAGGGGAATCAGGAGAGATAAAGGTCTCTGAAAATGTTCAGAAATACTAATGAACACTGAGGTTTTTAGGGTGAGGACTCTCAGTAACAACCCCATCCTAAACCTTCCGACTGAATGTTTCCGGATTTGGGGTGATGAAGAGAGCTAAGATCTGCTCTTGGTTTGATATCCACAGATTTCTGCAGTTTTAAATCCAAGGCTCACAGTGTTGGCAGGCTTTCTGGGAGACAACCATCCATGTTTCCTCCTATGCTAAATGGGGAAACCTCTCCTGATTTAGATGCTGACAAACCCTACACTTCCTGGCAGTTAAGATATACATACTTAGGGCTATCTTTTGCTTGTTCCAATTAGTAATACATCATCCTTTTCCTCTATAATACTATGAATAATCTTAGAGCAAGCTGTCTAGAAAGTATGAAGTATCTATTGAAAAGTACAGTTAAGCACAGCTAGATTAAACAGCAAGATAATCAAACAATAATCACTATTCAAAAAACTAGTTGGGGAGAAGAACATTGTTCATTTCTTTTAAACCTACTCTATTTCTTTGTACATCATCACTTTGGTTGTTTTCAGGTTTTTTGGCAAGTTCTTCAGATTCATATTAAATTCTAAAAGAAACATTATCGGGATCCCTGGGTGGCGCAGCGGTTTGGCGCCTGCCTTTGGCCCAGGGCGTGATCCTGGAGACCCGGGATCGAATCCCACGTCGGGCTTCCGGTGCATGGAGCCTGCTTCTCCCTCTGCCTGTGTCTCTGCCTCTCTCTCTGTGTGTGACTATCATAAGTAAATAAAAATTAAAAAAAAAATATTTAAAAGAAACATTATCAATATTTAATGTATTTGATATCCAAATTGCATTTATAAAAAATTAGTTATCTACTTACCAACCTACCTACCAGAAAGTAGACAATCAAAAAAAAAAAATCTCTATCCTCTAATTGATGAAGAGGAAGGCATTCTCTCAATTATTGACATTTACCAAAATATCTCCAACCATTATTCATATTTTTTTATTATTCATAAATTAATCTACTAGATTAAGTGTGTAAATTTGCCAAGGATTAAGCAGTCATTAACTAAACTGTTCACACTTTTCACATGAAAAGAAGAAACAATGAGATTAGAGAAAGGATATTAAGTTACATAGTTTTAACTGTAATGGCATTAGAATGGACTAACCAGTTAAAGTTACAGTATTTTCCACCCTTAAAGAAAAAGAAACCAAACATTTACCAATCCAGGATAATATGGGAGTGCATAGGCACTTTACAAACATTTCCCCCTTGACACCACCACCATCACCCCTAGTTTACATATAAAGACACTAAGGATCAGAGAGATTAAGACATTTCTTTTACATTCACAAGCCTACTAAGTGACAGGACCAAGATGCAAACAGAAAAGTCTGCCTGTGTGTCTGCATCTCTCTCTCTCTCTCTCCAAGTCTCTCATGAATGAATAAATAAAATCTTTAAAAAAAAAAAGAAATTGGTCTAACCAGAGACTTCACTTTTCCCCAACATCCCATGTTGCCTTAGTGATGGTAGTCTACCATAGAAAAGATGAGGCAGATGAGAGCTTCCTATCGCTGATTCCATTTACTACTACTGAATTGTCATGAGTACTGGAATTATTCTATATTCAGTTCATCTTCTAACCGGACACCGAGCTCTCCATTCTTCAAATTCTTCATTTTATGTACTGCTTTTTTGGCATTCGATCACACTCCACCTTAAAATGTCATGTTCAATACTACTACTACTACTACTACAAAAATAATAATAATAATATAATAATAATAATAATAATAATAGCCTTTACCACTTCTACCCCCTTCAACAGTGTCCAGCACCAGCCACGGATTTCACGTCCTAGTCATCCCTGCACTCCGCGGAGTTTAGCAGTATGTGTGGCATGGCAGGGGGTCAATGCTTGTTGAAAGGCGTAACCGTAACACAACTTTTCTGCCAAGGCATGTAGACTGGGTGTCATTTCTACTTTGAATTACTTGTTGATTTTATCAATGGTCTTATGAGACAGGAAACAAACAAACCCCAAATGAGCAAAGCAGTGTTAAGCATCTGAAAAAGCGCAGTTTGCTGCATTCGTATAGAGCTACCTGACGTCATCATGAGGGTGCATCTCGCTGTTTATGTGCAATGCTTCACAGATGGTGGCTTTTACGACTAGGACGTGCAGCTGTAGGATGAAATACTTTAGCTGACACTTTTAAAGGGGGGAAAGCTATTTGATAAAAAAAAAGGGGGGAACCCTTTTTATGTAAAAATAATCCAGACAGAAACGGCATCCTAGACAAAAAAAAAAAAAGACCAAGCCGGCACACGTTATTACTTATCGAGAGTTCCTGGCTTCCCACCGCCGCAGTAAAGCTTCTACAGGTAAATGCGAGGGAAGCACCAACCGGGGAGCCCCGCGGCTGACTCCACGCAGTGCCAGGCTAAAGGAACAGCTGCTGCTTAAACTGCGCGTCGGGTGGAGGGGGAGCGAGGCCCGGGCGCCCGCGCTGGGCTCCGGCTCTGGTTTCCACGAACACCGCCGTTCGCTGCGCCGCCGCGGGGAGAGCCGCGCCGCCGGAGTTCCACTTCACCCCCAGCGGGGCTCTGGCCGGGGCTCGGCGGAGGCCGGGGGCCCCCACACGCACCCCTCCGCGCCGTCGCCCGCCGCCGCGCCCCGCCCCCGGCCGCTCGCCGCACCTGGAGATCCCGCGCGCTCGGGGGCCGCGGCCCCGAAGACCTCTCCTGCTCGCCCGGGTCGGCGCCGCCGCCTTCCGCCATCTTTCACCGGCTCGCCGGCGCCTCCGCCGCGCGCCGACGCGCCTTCCGGGGCCGGTCGCCTGGCAACCGCGGGAGGGGCGGTGCCTAGACGCCCTCGCTTCCCCCAGCTTCCGGCGCGCAGCCCCGTCTTCCGGCGCCGCCGCTCGGGGTCTGCACCCCGCTTTTTCTTAAAGGCAACGGACTCGGAGACCTTCCCCGCAGGGACGCGGCTCGTAAGCCTTGTGTTCCCTCTGCAGCACGCCTGAAGATGCTGTAGGCCGCCCTAGAGGGCAGCATGCACTTGCGCGTTCTTCTGACTGCACAATGAAAGAACATCCTCTGGACGCTTTGTCTAGTAAAAATTGCAGCTTACTTTCTAGTCTTGACCAAACTCTCTCATCTTGCCTACCAAAGACCGGGTGGGACGTCGTCCCCGATGCGTGAATTGGTGTTGAGGACGGAAGCCCCTTGCTCTCATTCCTCTGAGATTTGTTTAAGCTCCTGTCTTATTCCAGGTACTTTTATGTCCCTGGTCTGCAAAGGTAGAAAGTAGTAGTAGTCCCGGTCATTCTAAAATTCAAAATCTAGTGGGGTGGGTGGGGGGGAGATAATAAATGCGATAGTATAAAATGCAATGCAGATAATAAAGTGCAATTTGCAATAGAGCTTCGCATTAAATGTTGTGAGTGGGGGATGGGGTGTGGAGGAGAGTATTCTGCTGGTGCCTGCTGTGTGCACCCTGCTAGCTGCGTTCCGTGTGTCGTCTCGGCCACCTCTGTTAGTTAAACATTGTTACCGTGTTATATCCAAGGAAACCAGATTATAAAGAGCAGCTAGATCCACCTGTTGTCAGTGGCAGTATCAGATACCAAACCTGGCGTGTGTTCACCCAATATTCATTTTAATACGACATTTTGGCCTGGAAATCCTCAGCTCTTCTTTATGTCCCCTAAAGCCAATGGTATTTTGGCTGAAATCTTAAAAGATAAGTGTTTCCCATAGACTTTGGATCAAAAGGGATCACAAGGAGTGGCATTGGTTTGAGATACCATGTTCACATTGATAAAGTCCTGCATAGTTGAAGCATAGAGGAAATGACAAGATAGTAATGGAGTTAGGGGGTACAGATCTAGATTGGAGATACAGGCTTTTGGACAGATTCTGAAAGATCCTGTCTTAGTGAAGGGATGGAACATTACCTCTGAGCCAGTGGTTCTCAAATATTACTGCATATTAGGGCCCACGTTAGAACCCTCTCTCCTCCCTACCTAATCCCAGAAATCCAAATTTAATTCATGTGAGGTAGGACTCAAACTCATATTTTTTTAAAGATTTTTTAATTTATTTATTCATAGAGATGCAGAGAGAGAGAGAGAGAGAGAGGCAGAGACACAGGCAGAGGGAGAAGTAGGCTCCATGCAGGGAGCCTGACGTGGGACTTGATCCAGAGTCCCCAGGATCATGCCCTGGGCTGCAGGCAGCACTAAACCGCTGCGCCACCGAGGCTGCCCCCAAACTCATATTTTTTTAAGATGCTCCCCAAGTGGACTTTGCTTCTACTCATGACTGTACTAGACTTGCCCTCCCACTCCCAACAATTAAAAAGCTAGACAAAGTACATGAAACAGCTATTTTTGAATATTGAATAACAGGCAGTACAAGTCTGTGATAGCCCACAGAAGGGAAACAGGCAAGATGAGCTGTGTTTGCTCTGGTTTTCTGCCTTGACCATTCATTCACACACTGCTGGTAGGAATGGAGAACGACACACCACCTTTGGAAGATAGTTTCTTCTAAAGTTGAATATTCGGTTATTATAAGACTTAGCATTTCCATTCCTAAGATTTGTCCAAGAGGAATGAAAACATGTTTACAAAAGTATTTGCGCCAAGTGGTTATAGAAGCTTCATTCATAATAACCCCAAATAGGAAACAATCCAAATGTTCATCAACAAATGAATGGATGACATTTTGATAAATGCACAAAACAGAAAAAACGAGGATATCATGGATTCACATACCATGATTGAATCTCAAAGACATCTTAAGTAAAAGAAATCAGATACAAAGAGTGAATATCATCTAATTCAATGTAAGTGAAATTCTAGAATAGGCAAAACTAATCTTTACTGGCATAAAGCTGGTGATTGCTTAAGGTTGTCTCTCCGAGGAAGGATAAGCTTGGGGAGTTTGTCTGGAAAAGGACATATGGGATCTTTCTGAGATGATGGAAATGTTTTATATTTTATGGTGATTACATGAGTATATACATTTGTTTAAAACACACTGAACTATATACTTATAATATACTTTATTATATATAAATTATACATTTATAAAGTTGGTTGAAAAAGATCTACCCAGATAATTCTATTGTGCAGCCATGGTTGAGAACCACTGACCTAAGGCAACGGGGAGTTATTAAAGGATTTGTGATTTAGAAAGATCACAGAGGCATCAGTGTGTAGGATGAATCATTGTTAGGAGATTAAAAGGTTGTAACAATGAGAGGTGATTGGACTCAAGTTTTATCAGTGGCAGTGAGTACAGAGAGAAGCAATGGTTGGTAGAGATTTTAGGGTGAGACCCAATAGGTGCTGGAATCTACATGAAAGGAGGAATAAAGAATGCCATTCAGGGTTTTGGTTAGGTGGTTTGGTAAATGGCACTATTCACAAGTCACTGAGTTGACAGGGAGAAATAAACTTCCAAAGAAAGAAACAAATCTATTATGGACAGTCTGAATTTGAAATTTATGTGAAACACTAGTGCAAAAATACATCATAGACCAATTGCAAATGTGGGTGTGGACTTTAGGAGATCAGGAGAGAATTTTGGTGCGGAGATAGACAGATTTGGTGTTGAGTGCAAGTAGATCAGACTTCCAGCGGCGGTGTGAAATGTGAGAAGATACAAGGACTGACAATACACGGAAACACTAATGGTGAAGGGTTCAATGGAGAAAGGAGAGCATTCAAAGTAGACCTAAGAAATCACCAGACAGGTAGGATGAAGACAAAAGACTGAAAAAACTAGTGACAAGGCAGTTTCAAGCAAGAGACTGACAGAGTCATTTCCTACAGATAATCAAGTAAGATTAGGACCAGAACGTATCCACTGGATTAAAGGGAGAGGAGATCAGTGTACCAAAGGTCACTACTAATTTCATACAGAGAACAACCCATATTTTAGTAATTTGAGAGTGACAGCTAGGACAGTGAAGGCTACGTTTTCAATGTACTTAAAGTCAGTGGTGTGCAAGAGGTGGCTTATAGTGGCTTGTGAGAGCCTATTGTTAAGTTTTCGGGGATTTTATAAGCAGTTGTTAAACATAGCCATTATTAAAAGTAAATTACAGGGGTGCCTGGGTGGCTCAGTCAGTTAAATGGCTCAGGTCATGATCCTAGGGTCCTGGGATTGAGCCCCAAGTGAGGCTCTCTGCTCAGTGGGGAAGGAGCCTGCTTCTCTCTCTGTCCCCTCCCCTGACTTGTGCTCTCTCTTAATGGCACTCTCTCTCTCTCTCAAATAAAGAAATAAAAATCCTTTTTTTTTTTTTAAAGTAAATTACAGGGATGCCTGGGTGGCTCAGTGATTGAGCATCTGCCAGAGTTCTGGGATCGAGTCCCCCATTGGGCTCCCTGCATGGAGCCTGCTTCTCCCTCTGCCTGTGTCTCTGCCTCTCTCTCTGTTTCTCTCATGAATAAATAAATAAAATCTTTAAAAAAAAGTAAATTACATAAACCTACAATGAAATCATATCAAAAACCAATGTAATAAATACTCAAAAACCATCACTGCCTAATTTTTAAAATACATTTTATTATTACTTATGCCGTTGAGGCTATTTACATCTCTTGTATCCATATGGTAGAGATACTGTGTAATGACACGCTACTGCACACCTCTTCCTAACTAACTCCTTAAGCATTCAGCAACAGCATGTGGTAGCTTGAAGTTTGCCAGGATGGCAGTATTTACACCTCAGAAATTGGTAACCACAAATAAAAATTTGATTTATTTTGTTCAATGTCTACTCTAGAATTAAAAATGTGGTGGGGGGGAAAGTATCCTAGTTTAGTTAAGACTTAAAAGTATGCTGTGTCTAAGCTGTTGTTATATCATGAAAAGAAAAAAGAAAAAAAGAAAGAAAAGAGAAAAGACATATTGCAGTATTTGAAAATTATTAGCTGATTCAGAAAAGAAGTTGCTCATGTCATGTCATTGAGTTACTTCATATGATTGTGTTGTTTTTGCTCATATCTTGTTAACATGAATTAAAATAACAACTGACATTCACATGGTCCCTTTGAAATCACCTCTCTTTTAGTTTGTAATAAAAACTATAATATCTCTTCCCATTCTTCTCCAAAGGTATGTGGTTATAAATACCTCACTGTCTCTCCATCCTCTATTTTATATTCTCAAAGTGGTTGAGGAGGTTCAAGAATCACAGCATTTATTCTATAGGGTATAAAGTCCAGGAGCTTCTGTCTCACACTTGCTTCTGCATAGAATATGTATTGTTTCTTGGGGTACTTAAACTGGAAACGTAATTTTATACCTTGTTATATTTAGTTTTTCCTTCCATTAGACTAGAAGATCATGGAGGCTACAGGCCTCTTTATCTCTAGTGCCTTAATATAGAAATCGTAACATAGTATGTATCTTTATTTTTTTAAGATTTTATTTATTTATTTGAGGGAGAGAGAGAGAAGGAGAGAGAGAGAGAGAGAGAGAGAGAGAATGAGCAGGGGGAGGGGTGGAAGGAGAGGGAGAAGCAGGCTCCTCACTGAGCAGGGAGCCCAATGCAGGAGTCGATCCCAGGTCCCCGAGATCATGACCTGAGTCGAAGGCAGATGCTTAACTGATGAGCCACCCAGAGGCCCAATATGTATCTTTAAAAAGTGTATAAGTGAGTGAAGGAAGGAAGGAGGGAGCAGGTAGGGATTAATAGCTAAGGTGTGACTATCTCCAAAGGCCATTTTCCATTCATGCAAAGTCAAGAAATAACAAGATATATCAACAGAAATTGTCATATATGAAT